TACATATTTCACTCATTCTCCTCATTTCGATCACTTGATTTTTTTTTTGGCGGGATCCTATTGTATTTGATACAGCATTTCGCTGCTTGCTACCAAATGCAATTTTGGGGGTAGTATTTTTGCATTTCATGCAATCCGAGCAACGTGCAAGACTTCGAGAATACCTCTAGTATGATTTTTTGTAAATAATTATTATTTGTGATACCTAGTTATAACGCATCGGAACGTTCGCTTTTTCTTTTGATTTAATACCTAATTAATTTGCATTAAACCCAAATTGTCTACGAATTGTCTTAGAATGTGGATGAACAACATTTAATGTGTTAGCGCATATGGCTCTCATCTCAGTTAAATGATTGATTATAAAGAACTAAAAATTGCCTTTTATTAATGTTGGAAACAAGTGACACAAGCAAAACGAACATTTAAAAATTAACAGTTTTTGCGGTGGAGCTTAGATTACACTGTGCGACACTACAAAATACCTGGGAGGTTTGAATATTTTCTGGTAGGTCTTTTCCGAGTAAAACAAGAACCGAAATAGGAAATTTGCCCAACACTCCCAAAATCTTGAGTTAACGTTAAAAACATTTGGACTTCTTCCCACATAATTTGGGCAAGTTCAGTGATGAACAAGGCGAATACTTTCACCAATTAAAAAACGTTTCAGAGGAAAAAATAAAATAAGAATAATAATGGGGTCAACAACCGTGTCAAGTTTGGGGGAAATTGGTGGAGCTGTTACAGATATATACAGATGTAATCTAAGTGGGCGTGGCTACGCCCATTTTCCAAGAATTTATAATATTATTTTTCGTCTAAAAATCATTGTAAATATCAATAAGCATCAGTTGTTACAAAAATATCTCAGTTTTCGTGTTTCTGAAAACTACCGTTATATGGAACGCAGGCGTGGCTATTGTCCGATTTTGCTCATTTTCCATACCATTCGTCCTACGCTGAAAAGAGGAACACATACCAAGTGTCGTTAGGATATCTCAATTTTTACTCGTGTTATCGTGTACACAGACGGACGGACAGACAGTCACCGCTTAATCGATTTATTATTTCATTATGATCATTTATGTATACATTTGGCTATATCTATCTCGATTCGTTTTGACTCTTACAAACAACCGTTATGTGAGCAAAGTAATAATACCCTTGTGCACAAGTGCGCTTGGGTATAAAAATAATTTCAGAATATTCTACATGGAGAAACTGTTGATGCTAGATTACAAAAAAAAAAACGGTCAAGAAAACATTTTTGAGTAGTATAGTCCAAAATAATATTTTTGCAAAAATTTCGTTTTTATAAAAAGTTTAATAACACAGTAAACTTTCAACCGATTTATGAAACTAAACACAAGTTTTTTCGCTATTTTAGTATGATTTTCTTTAAAATAGTGCGTAAAAACCTCACCAAAATTGAAAAAAGGTGAAAAAAGTAAAAAAAAAAAATGTCTTTGCTGGGTAAATACACCAAGTTTCTTCTTTTTAAACCCGGCAATAAACCGAAACTACGTTCATAATGTACTAAGCCACGAGGCCTATAAGTGCGCCAAGGTACGAAGAATCGGTTTCTAACGGTAAATCCTCATTTTGGGGGGTTTTTGGCAAATTTCATATTTTTCGATTCTGGGTTTACTCGAAAATACCTAC